GTTGGCCAGGCTGATAATGGGACCCTGCAGCTTTTTAAAAAATCAGATTTTTACACGAAGCATTTTAAATGTTTCTTTGAGTGACACAGCTCACCAGTCTGTTTACATGTGTGTGTGTCTGTGTTTAGCTTTCCATTTAGCATGTGGTTGTGCTGGAGGGGTTGTAGCAAACTAGATATCCAGCACATTAAATGTCTTTTTACTTGTTGTATTAGCTTTTACTGATTGTATAGAGAGCAGAGCGTTCAGTCCAGCAGCTCTTGGTCTGTTCTTCCAGCTGATTTGGGCTTCAACAGATGCATTTCTCTTCAGTCAGTGAACAGCAGCAGGAACACCACCAGTTTCACATCATAGTCTTTCAGGACCTTCTGTTTCTCTTTGCTTCCATAATCCTTGTCCAGCCTCGCAGATCAAACTAAAAGGAATTGTCCTCATAATGGTTGTCATATTACATGTTGAGTTTCCAGACAGTCAGCTTCACACATGTGATGCAGTTGGCAGAATGGCTGTTTCTGGCAGCTAATTTGTTTACTTTTTCAGCCTCCATCCTTTCCGGGAGTCATGAATCACTGACAAACTTCAAAATGAACAAACACAAAGATACTGTGTGAACACAATCAAAAATAAAGCTCATGTAGGGTTTTACCTGCATAGAAGACCTAAACATTTTGGTCAGCACCAAAGGAAAGGCACCAGGCCAAAAATGCTAAAAATTGAAAATAATAATAAACCCGTTTTTAGCCAGTTTTAATAAACAGGTTTGGTGTGCAAATGGTCAGAAATATCAGGAAAATGGTTGAATTTCTGTCATATAAGGTAACTTATTGCCTTTACTGTACACTTACTGATAAGTGTAGTCACTTCCCATGAGCCCATTCTGAACCAGGCACAATCCTGCACACACATACTTCTGTTTACTCTGAATACATATATTTAAAATGATTCAAGTAAAAATCACTTGCAGGGAGCTTCCGTCCTTTGATATCATCTTTACAGCAGAGATGGAGCTAGCACAGGGACACAGCAGCCACAATAATGGATAATACAGAGGTTAAAATAAACCTTTGATATTTAATGTGTGTTACATGTAGAGTCTTAACCTAACTGTACGTTGATACACTCTGGATTTACGTGCTTCTCATTCAAATATTTATTAGTCTTGAAATTTCATGACTTAGAAAGACACAAAGCAGATGGATCTCTTTTGAAATTATTTTGTAAAAGATTTTTATTGTAACCTTTAGATGAGAAAGTTGCAGATTCTTGTATTTAAGAAAGCTTGACGATGTTATATCCTCCTTTACAGTTTTCCCATCTGTCCTTTCAGTGAGCTGGAGATGATGAGCATCAGTCCTACGCTTTGATATTTCAAATGGAAAATGACAAACTGGGACTTTTCCAGAGTCTGCACATCTCAACAAAAAAAACCCTGCTTTTATTTTTTGTGCATTGCGACCCGTTACAACCAGACAGTTACAGCTTGTTTTGCTTTTAATCCAAGAGACCCTGGGAGCTTTTCATCCATAGCTATGCTTGGCAGTCGTCCAGCGTCTGCTGATCTCTGTATGTTGGCACAGGTGCTTCCAGGTCACCTTTGGCATCGCTGCCTCACTTCCCGTCAGCGTACACCCAGCTGGTCAGGTCTGCCTGCACACACTCACTCACATAAGGCAGAATAATCTAACACGCTGCCACTTTCCTTGCCAGAATCGCTCAGACGTGTCACTCTGAGCTGCCTCTGTCACAGGTGCCGTGGCTGTGAAAGCTGCTGTTTAAAATGAAATGAGTGACAGCCAAACAGCGACGAGTGTCTCCACAGCTGCACCTGCCAGACAAATATGGAAGCGTCCCAACTCTCTCTGAACCCACATGATCCTGTTAGCTCCCATCAGTCAGCCTGTTGTGTTTTAATGAGTCTCATCTCCGCTCTCTCTAACAAGTTGCTCAGGAGCCGTTCAGAGTCTTTGCTCGCTCTACACCTTACACCTTTGCCGCCGACGTACAGGGCCGAGGGGGCTGTCATCTGTGAAACAGCACAGCCGCTTGTCTCGCAGCTCACAGGGAGACGATGGTGTTCCATGTCTGTGTGGGCTCTGCTGCATTGTTCAACTCTGTTATTTTAAAAGTGGAGGCATATTAGCATATCTGCCCTTGCGTTTGCTGCTTTTAAAAAATGCATAATTCCTGCCTGATTTTATCTCAGCCACCCACACAGGAGGCAGTAGGCTTCGAGAAAGACGCCCCCGTCTCTGTCTGCCTCTCTCCTCTCCTGCATCCGAGTTACAATCTGCATTTGTTTTTCAAGGCTTCTTGTTTCTGAACTTTTTCACAGCGATCGTTTTCTCGTTTCCCATCAGATTTAGTGTTAAATCCTGTTATGTGTTATAGGCAGAAGTTCAGCACCACAACAGATACAGCACAGAATTATCTTGTGTGCAGTATAACGAAGGTGTGCAACCAGAAATCATGAAGAAATGATTAAACTGAAGTTAATTTTTGTTATTTTTTATGTTACAAAAATTGACACACATTTGAAAAACATAGTTGTTAGTTTTTTGGGAAAAAATGTGACTATTCAATAGGTATCTTTACGATTTCTTCTTAACAGTATTTTATTCATATTTGTCCCCATACTCGTCTCTTATCTGGTCTGTGTAAACACAACCTGCAGTTCATCTCAGTTCAGCTCAGTAGTCTCTGAATTTTTAGGATGTAATAGCTACTCACAGTTAAGTCAGTCGTGGCTTCTTGGTTGTGTTGAGGAACAGAATCTTGTGTTTTTAACAATCACTTTATTTATCACAAACTTTTTAAGTGAGGCGTAGAATGAAATGATTGTCATGAAATATCACAGTATTAAGCTAAGATTGGGTTATTTTCCAATTGAAAAGAAATCTTCCTGTTTTTCAGAGTTTCTGTGTCTGATAAATTAAGTAATTTTTAAATATAACATACCTTTCGAACCTGCCGGCATTTTTTTTTTTTTTGAGGTTTAGAGTGTTAACTTCAATTTTAAGCAATATTAGCTTTGTTTTATTTAGGGAACCTATTGAGATCAAGATCTCTTTTGCAAAAATGACCATAAAGTACCAGATTAGGGATGCAATTATCATATAATCTGCCAGTTTGCTTGTGCAAAAAAAGCATAAACGACTTCCCAGAGCCAAAGATGACGTCCTCAGATGTTTAGTCTGACATGACACAAAGCACTTACAGCATCAGAGAAGGTAGAGACAGCCCTAAAGGGATTCAAAGTTTAAAATCAGTTGGTGTGATGAGACATTCAAGTTTAAAAGTTCTTTATAATTCAGTTCAGTTATAAAGGTGCAGAGTTGTGGAAAACAGTCTTCCAAAGATCTGTATTTCTCACCATCACAGCTGCAGTTTAACAGGCCTCACATCTGCTCCTGGTTCACCTTCATGAATAAAAATAAAACGCGGTTGTCCCGTCGCTTGCCTACTTTTTCATCCGATACACAGCGATTAGTACGATAGTTATCTCCTGTGATGAACTGCAAAGCGTAGTGATAAACTGCAAGAAGTTGTTTTAAGGTTGAGCGAACAGCGTGAGAATAAAAGCGAAGCACAGACGTGGCGGTTGACTGCACAATCATTTTTCTGTCCTCAAGACAAAAGCATGTTTTATTCCAACAGAACAAACCCATTTTTATCTTCAGTGTCTGTGCCATTTTGTCCAACCATTTATATCAATAAGGGCGTTTTAGATTAATACCTGTAGCTGTATATTCTCTCCTCGTCACATTATCTAAATCCAGCACAATACATTTCCTGGGTAGTTTATAACCTGTTATCACTCTAAATCCACATAAATTCCTATTTTCAGAATCCTCTCATTATGATAATATATTTGTTTTAAAGATAAATCATCTCTAATATCAGTTTTTTTTTTCTTTATTTTCTATTTTTTGCTCCTTGTCCATTCTCTGCTGGTGTAGCAACACAGCCGTTTGGTGAATTCTGGACGTGCTGGGAAACCGTCTCTCACCTTCCTCTGATTCATCACGTTCCTCAATACTTCCACTTTCTTCCCTTGGCAGGACAGTGTTAGATGTTTGCGTTCACACATTTGTTTCTGTTTTAGCAATGCTGGACTTGAGAAATGACGATGCCTCGTTCAACACTTTTCTACAACTTTTGGGACAGTTGCCATGAAATCTTGTGCAAACATTCATGGTGCCCAGAGGATGATTCATACTAACTGTGGTTATTTTCTACCTTTTCCTCCTCGTGTGCCATACACAGTTTAAAGCTGTTGTTTATGTATATGAGATGAGATAGATCAGTACATACATTTATTTATGGTGCCCAGGGGATAAATCCTACTGTGATTATTATTTAACTTTCGTTTTTATGGCAACAGCAGGTCAAAACTTTTACTTATCAAATGAGACGTCACAACATCTGCTAAATAGATTAGCACATAAATTTACTGAATGTTCATGGTTTCCAGATGATGAATCCTCATACCTTCTGTCCCCTGTTAATAGCATGAGGTTGTTCAGTGCAACATCTTGATAGATATTGAATGAATAGCCATAAGGTTTGGCATAAATATTCATGCTCCCCTTAGGATGCGTGATTCTGCTCAACTATAAAATTTCAAATTTTGTGCAGGAGATTAATTCAGATAGCCAAATAGTGCTGCCAAGAAACTGCAGCAGAAGCATCCGTGGAGTTTTAACTTTGCCTGGGTGGGTTGTAGTGTTGCCTCATAGTTAGCAAACAGCAGGTCTAAACTTTCTAAGCCATTTTTAACTGCAGCATTTCCAAAGTTTGCTGTAAATTCATGTAGCAGTTGCATAGAAACAAGGCACGAAATCTACACCGCTAAACCACGATTCTACAAAACGCACGTCTTCTGATAACGCCTACACAAAAAGAAAGGAATGCAGAAAACAGTCCCGAACAAGCTGTTTACAGAAAAGAAGTCTAATACTAATTGACTTCATCTTTCCTTCTTTCCCTCTCTCCGTCTGCAGAGAGCAGCCCATCTTCAGTACACGGGCCCACGTCTTCCAGATCGACCCGAACACCAAGAAGAACTGGGTTCCTACAAGTAAACATGCTGTCACCGTCTCCTACTTCTTTGACAGCACCAGGAATGTATATCGAATCATCAGTCTGGATGGATCCAAGGTGTGTGCACCAACAGAACTCAGTGCAAAGTTTGTGTCCCTGTTTTGTTCATTGCAGCTGCTGTAGGAGCTGTATTAGCTTCATGCTGGGCACTGATATTATCAATATCCTCTAGATACTGTCCCACAATATCATCATTTCTTCAGCTTCATTGCAGATAAGTAATAAAAGTTCCTGATGGGGAAAACAATAGGGAGTAACTACCTGTTCAACCATCAAATTACTGTTTTTGTTTGTGTTCTCAGAAACCATTTAATCCTCTTGAAGCTGTAAATATTACCCCAAAATATCTTTGCATGGGGATCAATAACGTTTCGTCTTATGAAAAGAATCAGAAACCGTTGGATCTTTGCTTTTGTCGCTGGCTCTACCCTCAGCGTGTCGGCCTCTGTGTGGTGAAGGGGCGGCCGGGCCTGTCATATCTGTGTGGCAGTGATTATTTTAGTCTGGAGAGAGGTGCAGGGGTGGAGTTAGCATAGTTATGTAAGAGCCTCTCCGGGTGACTAGTGCTGTTGTTGAACCAGCAAGTTAGCTGCTGGAAATAGCAGCGTTCGGGTGGGCTGGCGCTGGAGGACATCATCATCATCATCATCCCCACAACAATAAGTCCTCAGCAGAGACAGATGCCACACAATGACGAATCGCTCTGTTTGTGTTTGTTCTCTAAATTCAAGAACGAGGAAACTTTTCAAACGTTTGTCAAAGGGAAAAAGCCGCTGCTTCTCAGAATCGAGTCAGAAAGAAGCTATAATTTACATTTTTCTAATTACAGCGTTGGAAATGACAACGTGAAAGGTTTCGGCTTCAACTTCACAGACGTTAAAAGGGAGTTTTAGTTCTTTGTTTAGCTGTTCGGCTGCAACTTTGCTGTTTTTAGTTTGCTTTCATGATACCATTTTCAGCTTAAAGCCACTCTGTGATAGCAGAGGGATGAAGTTTGACATAGCCAGGCTTTCTTTGTGTTACCTAGCTTGACAAAACCTGAAACCCACGTTAGAGATAACCAGTAACATATCAGTGGTTATCAACTTTCTTTGTTAACCCAAGTCTACTTCATCAGGTTCCTTGAAAGTTCACATAAAAGGTAAAAATATTACAGTAGAGAGCAACAATGTTCCTGCAAATACGGCAAGAGACAAATGCTGGTAGAAAACAGTTCATCACTTGAGTTAATATATTTGTTTTAGCACTCTTTTATGCTTTATGTGCACTGTTTATTCAGCCGCTTATTTCTGACATGACAGCTGCACTGTAAACGTCATACTTTTAAACATGTGGCTCAACAAGTGCATTTAAGTTTGATAGTGTCATAATGAAGGATTCATGGCCAACTCAAAATGAAATGAATGTTATTGATTGAATATTCTCTGTGATAAATACCAGTTAACTAATCAGTTTTATAATCTGATGTGGCAACAAATCAGAACCAAACATAGAAAGATATTTCTGCGCTTTATCTTCAGCTGAGTGCATGTAGGTTCTACATGACACACAACTAAAGATTTTAAATGCTAATTAAGACACAATCACAGGAATGAAGTGATGACACTTGATATACAAATGGTTTCCCCACCCCCCCATCCTCACTCTCACCCAACCGGGCGAGGCAGATGGCCGTCTTCCCTGAGCCTGGTTCTTCCGGAGGTTTTTGGCTCCTTCTCACCGTTGCCAACCTCTTGCTCAGAGGAAGTCCAAAGGCTACCTTGGATTGTTGGGTTCTCTGTTAAATTTGTAAAGTCTATACCTTACGTTGTTAAGCACTGTGTGATAACGTGTGTTGTAAACTGTGCTATCTAGATAAAATTGAATTGAATTGAATTAAAGGTCAAGTCTGACCAGATCTGGATGTAAACTGCAATTTGACTGGTTAGCTGAAGCATCTAACTGCAAGATGGTATTTCAGTTTTTTTTTAATTCCCTCTGTTTATACTCAGTTTGGTATGTGGACGTTTCTCTCTGTCGCCATTCAGCTCCAAATGACATATTCACAGCATGTCTCCGGCAATACTCAGGGACACCTTGCTTTGTTTCAAAACAACTTCAGAATTTCGGTGGAAATTTTACGACTGTGATAATATGCCAGAGATGGAGCCCAGCTACTCCCACGTAAAAGCTTTTTATTATATTAAACATTATGTGTTTGTTTTTTTTACTGTAAATTAGAGGCAGAGTGAAGCGGTATCAACTTCTAGCTTCTGTTTGTCAAAAGTGATCTAACTCAATAACAGAAAGCACAAGGAGCATCTCAACAAATCCAGCCTGTTGATAAGAGTCATGTGATGCAATAGAAAGCTCTAGAACAGCAGCAGGTACACATCGTCAGCGGCTGTGAGATGAACCAACAGTGAATTTGAGACACGAGCAGCAGATATTTATTCTGTTAGCTCTAAAAACTCACACCGGGCGAGGCCTCCCACTCCGATCAATACCGTTACAGTCAGCTGGACTCACTTCAGAGACTCCTATTTACCGAACCAAACCGAGGGAATACAAGACACGCAGTCACATCCAGCTGCAGCCGCCTCCACCAACACCTGGAACTGGTCCCCTGAGACAGTCAAGCTGTACAAAACAATTTCTGTTCACTTTGACACAAGTCCCAATCGTGTGTGTTTTATCTCCCACAGGCCATTATCAACAGCACCATCACCCCCAACATGACCTTCACTAAGACGTCGCAGAAGTTTGGCCAGTGGGCCGACAGCCGGGCCAACACCGTGTACGGTCTCGGCTTCTCGTCGGAGAGCCACCTGGTCAAGGTGAGAAAGTGTGAACGCCTTTTTTTCAACAGCAGAAATTCGTGGCTGAGTTTCCATCTGTTCTGTGGTGTCAGCTGCTCCTGTTGTTTCAGTTCGCAGATAAGTTTGCTGAGTTCAAGGAGGCGGCCCGGTTAGCCAAGGAGAAGTCTCAGGAGAAGATGGAGCTCACCAGCACTCCCTCTCAGGTAACAACCACAACATACTTGTGTGCGTTTATCCTTTAGTTTCTCTCTGAAGATGTTAATACTCACACGTATGCATCTATACAGGCTTCCACTTAGAAAGACCAGAGGATATAGGGGGAGGTAGACGACACAGTGTTGATATATGTGGACCTTTTCTATATGAGCAAAGCAATTTATAACAAAGATGCTTTTTAGCAGCACACACAGTACATTACAGTACATACAGCTGACACCAGAAGTTTACATAAAAAGACACATAACCTTTTTTTTCTCACTGTTTGACATTAAAGCAGACTAAACTTTTCCTGTTTTAGGTCAGTTAGGATTACCAAGATTATTTCCATTTGCTAAATGCCAAAAAAATGAGAGAGAGAATTTTTTATTACTTTCTTCAAAGTCAGAAGTTTCCATACATTAGTACATTACATTAGTATTTGGTAGCATTGCCTTTAAACTGCATGACTTGGGTCAAATGTTTTGGGTTTCCTTCCACAAGCTTCTCACAGTAGTTTGATGAATTCTGGCCCATTCCTCCAACAGAACTGGTGGAACTGAGTCCGGTTTGTTGGCCACCTTGCTCCACACGCCTTTTCAGCTCTGCTGTGTTGTCAGTTAACCTATCAAAAGCTTCTAAAGCCATGACATCATCATCTGGGCTTTACCAAATAGTTTGAAGGCATAGTAATCTTAGTGTATGTAAACTTCTGACTGTGAAGAAAGTAATGAAAAAAAAATCTCTAAAAAAAAATGGTCCCCCTCATTATTCTGGAATTTAGCAAATAGAAATAATTTTGGTAATCCTAACTGACCCAAAACAGGAAAAGTTTAGTCTGATATAGCGTCAGACAGTGAGAGAGAAAAAGAAAGCTTATATGTCTTTGTATACAGTGGATGTACACTTTTAGTTTCAGCTGTTCATGACATTCAGAGTAACATATTATGGCTTTATTAGAGAGCATAAATTCCCTCTTCAGACCTGAACCGGGCTCATGGTTGATGTCTTGAACCTTAAGTCAGCCACTTCACATATTGGCACAGATCTGCTAGATGTCATCTCTGTGAGAAACAGCAGTGAATCAATGCAAACTGAGATGATGCTAACGTAGCTCATGCAAGCAGGGAGGAATGAACAATGTGTCTTCAATCAGCCACTGGTGGAACAAATGAAAAATACAGGAGAAAATGTTTGCAATAAATGAATGTCCCCAATGTTTGTTAAAGTAAAAACATAAGAAGTCTCATTATTCTGGTAGGTATAATTTGGATTTGTCAATTATTCAAGAAAAAAAGACTAAAAATTCTAAATCTGCTGAGTCCAGCTTCTCTGATTTGAATTGAAAATAAGACATCTAAAGGTCTCTCTGTTGACTTTAGAAACATTTTCACTCTGTTATTGGCATTTTGTAGACTAAAACAAAGAAGGCTTGATTTATCAGTCACACAGGATTGTGAAAAGTCTCTACACTTGTTCGGGATTTTTTTTGCCTAATTTTGCATTTTTACTTGAAACTTCTGGTCGCCTTCACAAAAGCATCGATCACAGAGCCTGATAAACTTTTCCCGTATTCAAAAAACATCCATAAAGAGCTGTGAGCTGTGTGAACCTAAACAATGGGGTTCTTCCTCATCCTTTCACCAGAAGATGTTAACAGTCATTCGACATTTTCAGCTTTTCAAATTTGACGATTTGTTCCCTTACAAGATAACAAATGTATTATATTGTCTCCTGATTGAATAGTCGCTTCATTGGTTTTTTTTTTCACAAAATTGTGAATCACCGTTACGATTTCCGGGAAGCCCAAGGTGACGTCCTTACACATACTGTTTAGAGCAAATAACTGTCAGTAATTAAAATAATTGGTAATCATGCACTCTGAGCTGAAAGGAAAATTTCTTTCTTGGGATTTTAAAC